AACAATAATCATCAGATCATTGTTCCGCTTTTACATTTTTCTGCTTCTTCATATTTTATAGTTCTATTTAGATAAAAAGTTAAAAACAAAACTTGTAATGATAAAAATAACTCAGTCCTTGTTCTAATCTAAAGCCCTTATGATAGCTTAAGATGCGGCTTTTGGTTTAACTTAATTCCTCGAATTAATTTCCGTATTATTTTTGTTTCTTAGATTTTCACGCACATCACTCATTAAATAAAACTAGTTTTTACGTCAATAAATAAATAAAATTTCGAGCATTAACCCGTAAAAACTAGTTTTATTTAAATTCCGTATTTTTCATTTAACATTTTTTTTTACATTAAAAGTGAACTTTTACGGAATTCTCAATGTTAGTTCTTATTTTAAAACTTATAATTTTTTCCCAAAATATGAATTCGATATATACCTACTGGTTATGAAATTTAATGTTATCTATTATGCTTTCAGTTATAAGATTGAGTGGTAATGAATCATCAATTCTTTATTAAACCATGACCTCAAACAATTTGAGATCTATCTGAGAACTTTCATAGATGAATAAACACTGACACACAAACGCACACACGTGTGACTTGTAATCAAAGACCTGAAGATGAACTTATGCTTCATTGTACTTGCATCTTATGTATATCTTTGATGGTCCACCGTCCCGCATGAAATAAAGTATGACTTTATTTTCGAACAATAAAAAAATACTACACTTTATTATTTTATAAAAGCTTGAGCGTCTAACAAGGAACACAGGTCTATTATTACAAATTTTATACTTTTTTCAAACACGCATCCTCGTTACTCAAACGTCGTAAATAAATATGACTTATTTGGAAGCCCATATGTGTCGACATTCTGTTACAAAGCATCGGACGGCGGGCGTTGAGAGACCGGTGGTTCATTGGCTCATGGGATCTTTACGATTTTTTTGTTAACCAACACCAACCCCGCGTTTATGTGTGAGTGACTACCTGCCGTATCCGGGAGCTACACGTCAAGTCACGGCTGTTACAATTCCAAAATAAACGAAAAAAAAGTCAATTTGAAGCTTAGCACCTTATCCGAAGCCAGTTTCTAAACCTCTTTCTCAAAACTGACCATTATGCTCCAAGTAATAGGATACACACATAATGTTAGATATCGCCGCGTTTTTTTTTCATTCTAACAATCCCAAGAAGGGACAGCACCCATCAATTTGTCTGGGAATGAAATAGTGGATAATTGCGTAGGCGATTAATTTTAATGAGTACACAAATCTGGTTTTACACGTTTGAATGGACACATTACCACGTATCTAAGCACCCGTGGAAGAGTGCAGTTGAATCTTAGGAGCTTTTTATGCTTTTGAATTTTGTTGGAACTCCTGTTGTAAGAGCAAATTACAACGTTTTGAATTTGATTCTTTACTAATTATTAGTTTAAGTGATAAAACATACTTGATGCAGGAAATAGCCATCCTTAACATTAATAGCAGCCATTTAAGTCAATAGATTGATAGTATGTTATTTAAGCACTAAAAGAAAAACGAAATATCACATTTATATTTTATCTTTTTAGACACAAACATAATAAGTAATTTTTATCTACTTATTAAATAAAAAATAAATCCCCATTCTCCTTGGTCAGGCCATAAATTCAGAACAACATTACCGATTTCATATTTTTTATTAAGTTTTCTAATACTTTGTATTAGGTTCTGATGAAAATACAATAAATTGCGCGAAACTATAGATAACGGGGACAAAGTCAGGTTCGGAAGCTAGTTTTAAAGCAATCCTGTACAATGTCTACAAGGGGATTTAAGAAGATACTTCCAATCATATAGAAGAATAATTGAATAGAAGAATAAAAAATGCATTGCTATTTATCAAAATACACACTTCATACAAAAACATATTTCAAAAATGTTGGCAGCTTTAAAATTTGAACCTTAGCTTTTAGCTATACAAACCCTTGTCGCCGCTTTGGTTTGAAATGGCTTTTATATTTGAACAAATTACTAGATTATAAGAAAAATCTCGAGCCTCTCTCTTGTCGGATCGCTGTCAGACGCATTTAAAGGCTTTACTGTACCCCTACAAGCGGAGTCCTGTACAATACGAGACGAACTAAGCCCTTTACTCGGTTTTTTAGTGTTTAACTGATTTAATGTAGAATAAAGAACAGGATGAATAAGCGTTTTGTTGTTTTAACTTTTTCTTCAGCAGGGCTAACAAGCCCTGTAGTATAACAATACTAAGTAGACTAGCTTTGCACAATAAGTTACATAATGCACTTTGGTCCTTTAAGAGGCGTAAAGAAGCCTCTCTGCAGGCTGGCAAGGTGAGGATGGTTAGTGTGGCAATTTATAACTGCTGTACTAGCTAGCTTCGCGTCTGGACTCTATCACTACTTAACATCATGTGAGGTAGTCATTTGCCTACCTAGCTAGCCTAGCATCATGTTTATTATATTTATAATTTAAGCATTTAACTGCTACAGATTTAAAATCTAAAGAAAGTTTTACTAGTTAACATCATGTTTACTTACACTACAAGGAGCGAATAAGATTCCGGAGTAAGGAAGGATGGTGCGGCTTCTGTAGTAGTGTTAATACAACAAATCAAGCTGCCCGACTCAAGAAAGTTCTGTCCAAGGACAACTCCAACCTCCTTGGGTCTCTAAAAGGGGAAAATGGCACTTAAACAAAAACAGAAGAAGCTAATACAGTGCTACTATAAACCCACTTCCCAGGACGCCACCCAGCGCTTGGCCTTGAGTGGTCGAGTGAGCACCACAATTCACCAAAAACTCAGGAATGGAACCTGGCAAAAACGATAATAACGGCGAAAATGTCTAAATGGGCTCTAAAGAGCTTTCAACCATTCTAGTCGGCAGGACTAGATGGTATCTTCCCGGCGCTAACTACTACAATGGCAACTCGGCCAGGTATTTAAATACCTATAACCAATGTTTAGGGTCTGAGGGAGGCAAAAGTAGTCTTCTAACCGAAACCGGGCAAAGACGATTATACACAAGCCAAATTCTTTAGACTAATTAGCCTTACGATATAAAGATTCGGCAATCACAAATAAAACCTCAATCATAGACATAGAAGGTGCTTTTGACAAAAAGATGCACAACAGCTTTAACTACGCCCTAAGAAAACTTAAAGTGGACCAAGTCACCAGAGGTTGGATTACCGAACTTGTTGGCAAAAGGGCGGTTCAGATAGTGGGGAACACTACCACGCGTGGGAAGGTAGTTAGAGGATGTCCTCAAGGGGGAGTCCTATCACCACTTCTCTGGAACATAGTAGAAGACAGTCTCCTAAGGAGTCTGAATGATAGAGGATACAAGTGAAATATCTGGGCGTAATCTTTGATAACAAACTGAATTAAGCGAGTCACATCCTGCCTGCATAGCTTTCAATGTAGTCGACTAGTTAGTGAAAAATGGGGTCTTAGTCTAAAGATCACTCTTTAGTTATACACAGCAGTCAGTCCAGGACCCAATTGACCACGGTGAATGGTTTTCACTCTCTAAACTCTAAAGTCTACAACGCTTGGCGAGCGCAGCAGTAACTGGATGCATGGGAACAACTCCATCGACTGCATTAGAGTACCTCCTGAACTAAAGATCCCTAGACGTGGTCATACTAGAAGAGGCGATTACGGGTTTATAGAGATTTAACACTGTAACAAGACATTCCAATATCCTATAAACGTGTTTGAAGGAGATACCACTCCTGGAGGCACCTATGGAGAATATTTGGTCAACACATGTTTGATTGAAGATACGACATCCAACTTACCGCGCAAAAGGCAGATTACTCTGGCGCCGGGAAAGTTAGGATATACACAGATAGCTCTAAAACCAATAGTGGTACTGGAACCAGTGTCTTCTCGAACGACCTGATTATAAAAATATCTACATCCTTAGACAAACTAAGCACAATCTTCCAGGCGGAATGTATTCACATTACCAGAGCTGCACAGGCGGTTGCAGCCAAATACATCAGAGAGTTTAAAATTAAAATCATCTCTGACAGTGTATCCGTGCTTCAAGCGCTACGTATCAATACAATAAACTCTGTAGTGGTAATGGATTGGTCCAGTGCATCAGTGCTCCAAATCTTACGTAGCAATAAAATAAACTCTGTCCTGTTAATGGAGTGCCACACTGCTCTTCAATCCATTGCAGTAACCAACATGGTAACTGTACGAGCAAGCGCGTACATTTTGCCCCGTCGGCATTTTACGCCACATGCATTTATTTAGGTTAATTATGAATCAGTTCGTCATCGGTCATTATTCGTACCACGCATTCTCACAGTCATATCATTTTAGTTTCGTAATTATCAGTTTGTTATCAGTAATATATCATTTAAACATATCAAGACTTTCTCTTCTCTCTCTTTATGATAAAAGGTGTACAAAACCTGTCCGGGTTTTGTACACCTTTTATGATAACGTAACTCTGCAACGGATAAAAGGACACAACAACTTAATTAATCAATGCAGCAGACGAACTGGCTAAAAGAGGAGCAGACACATAAGTGTATGGTCCGGAACCCTTGCTGCCCATACCTCAGGCCCAAATTAAAACGTGGCTGTGTGAAAGAACTTAGAAATCGCATTTGACAGAGTGGAAACAGATGAAGGATGCTGGCAAACGAAAAACGCCGGCGGCAAACAACTGGACCAACCAACCAATCTTACCTTGGCGGTCTGCAAAAAAGGTTTATTGATAATCCCCACACAATCAAAAAATAGTTTTGGAACAAAAGTATCGTTTCTGTTTAATAAGATAATACGGAAACTTAAAAAAAACAATAAGCTGTTTTCTCAACTTATCTAAATTCGTTCATCCATTTTCAATGTTAGAATAACAAACACAAAATTTTACATTTATAGATCTTCATATCAAAAAGTTAATTATTCAAATAACCGTGTTTTTTGTAATTTTATGTTTTAAAAAAGGTAGGAATTTAAAATGGTACTTACCCGCTAAAGCAGGTGCAACCGCTGCAATGAGCAGCTGAAGACACAACGCTGACGCCATAGTGGACCTGGAAAGAAAACGATATTTTTTTAAATATAATACTACTAACATACGAGATAAGATACTAGACATAATACTACGTATACTACTGACATAGAAATGAACAAATTATTACTAACAACTTGGGTCTATGTTACCTTACATAAATGAATTATTATTATCCTAACTTTCTTGGACAATGGCAATTAACGTCCCCACCCCCCAACACATTAGAAACAAGTGTCATTTCAAGCGTCTAGTAGGATAGAAAATTTCTTAGTATAGCGACATACTTCAAATATCCCATACGTTTAGGTTTAGGTTTTATAAATACTAGAAAAAGTACCCTGCAGTTTCACCCGCATTAATTAAAGGAATAGGTTATAGTGGGTTACCCTTAAAAGATAGACATATGTTGTTGTGAACTTTTTTATAGAAATTTTAAAATAGAACAATTCCGTCCTACATGGTTTTTTGGGTAACTTGTACCGTTTAAGCAGCGCACGCAACGGAAGCTCTCAAATGGAATGTGTTTTCGCGTTTTTGCAATATTTTTCATTGTTGCTCCGTTCCTTTTGGTTGTATCTTTATGTTATATAGCCAACGATATATATAGCATATATAAACTTCCTCCATAAATGCACTATCCGACACAAAAAGAAATATTCAAATCAAACCAGTAGTTAACGACTTTATGTAAAATGAATTAGATAGAACCGATAGAACCTGAAAAATCCAAAAGTAAATTCAAGCATAAATGGTACGCATGCCACCGACATCAAATTATTTTTTAAATATATCATTATCATCATCATCAGCCTATTTATGTCCCCACTGCTGGGGCACAGGCCTTCCCTATGGATGGAATAGGGAGATTGGGCCATGACCCACTACGCGGGTCCAGTGCGGATTGGTGGGTGGATTTAAATATATTTAAATATATATAAATTAAAGGATATGCATTATTTCTTCTTTTTAGTGGTTTTGTCTGTATGAAGTTGGCTTTTATTTTACATTTTTATAAGCCAGTGCAAGTTCAACATACTAATTACTTGGCACCTGGTCTACATTATCTATTTCATATCTTAAAATATTCAAACTCCTTATTGAAGTCGAATTGAGTACTGTTTGTAATTGAGGAGTCCATTATTTTCTCCGAAAGTACTGATCAGATCCTCACCAAATTAATACGGGACCATTTCACCAAAAAACTGATTCAAATAAATTCATTAAAATCGGTCTACTCATCTCGGAGATAAGCGCTAACAACAATAAAAAAAAACATGTAATGACGAACTGCGAACCTCCTAGTTTTTGAAATCGGTTAAAAACGAACATTAAGTAAAACATTGTACATATTTGCAAGTCAATAATTTTTCAATTCGAGAGCATTATTTAAGAAAAATATATTTTTGTATGAAAATAAACACATTTTTGCCGAAAAGATTTTTTAATAATTATATTTAAACCCCTACTCAAACAAGTGTTTTGATGACTTCGCTACTCAAACAAGTGTTTTGATGACTCTTTTTGAGTACGAATGAACAAATCTACACGCATTCCGTGTCTGTTGCAGGGCGGGGACGGGGTCCATAGCCATACAAAATCCCCCATGGTCCTTTCTTTTTTGTTAGTAACAGTTACTGCAAATCTTTGCAATATGTAATTTCAATTTAAACACATGTATTTTTGGAATTTCACAATGTTTTTTATGCTTTTCTAAAATCAAAACAAAACAAAAGTTATGGAATCAAGTCGTACAAAGCTCAAAAGCCGATTAGAACTCCTGTATAGCGTATATATTCTCCTCTACACAACTCATATTGAGAAAGGTATAATCGTATATTCGTAAGAGAAATATTTACCGTTGACTAAGTTCACCTAGAATCTAAAAAAATATCGCCCACTAAAAAGTACAAGCTACCTAATTTAATATTTTGTTTTTAGTAATTCCTTCTAGTCAACGAAACACAAAAAAAAACAAAGTAGGGCACAGACACTTCCGCAGTAACGATATTGACCCTGGAGAAGGAAAGGAGTAATCTTATCGTCCAGAACTGTAACTCAGTAATGATCAATAAAAAACTTTTAGAATGTCATCAATGCAAAGAGTGCGCGCCCATTCGGGAAAAATCATAAACAAACAGAAATTCCTAAAACGGCATTACTCTCTACTGTATACTGTATCAGAATTCACGCGTTAATGTTGACAAATAAATAGATGCTAAGGGGATAAAGCGTATATTATTTACAACTGAGAGCACGTTTACGAGTTTCCAATTTCAAAACATTCTATTTTTAAAGGTGTTCGAAGAGAAAACCGTTAAGAATTACCTACGTGACTGTTCTTATGTACAAAAAGAAATGATGGATATTTTCAAACATTTCATTCGCTTTGTTTCTTTTTCTAAATGACAATCCACTTCAACTGATTTGCGGTCTGCTGTATTTTTTATCAAAAAAAAATGGATGCGTGTAACTTATGTACGCGCGTGAGAAGTTATACTTCTTTAGCATCATTAAAAATATTTTTTAATTGCATGCAAATGATTAATAATTACAATAAAATAATAAAAGGACTGGAAAAGGATAGTTAACACAGTCAATTAAGTTCAGTTTTAATTTGAAAAATTAAATAATTATTCAAAATATTCAATTAAAATCACTACTGAATTTAAGTTATTAGTCCATATGTAATTAGCACTTGTAAGTAACTAAAACACATTGTGTCTATATAGAAACTAGAAACATGTGGATAAATATTATAAATATGAAAACAGTGATCAGAGGCGACGATCGTGCCAACATTGTTTTTGACAACGCGATCATCTTATGGAGCTCCGTGGATCGTTCAAAGACCTTTCGAACAGATGTCTAATAATGGTGGATTATTAACCACTAAGTGGTTAATAATCCACCATTATTAGACACTAACATTCATAACGCGCCCGCGGCCAACTTCATGGTGTTACTATAGTGTTACAGTGATGCGCGCGCATCTCGAAATTTCACTCACATGATTTTTTCATAACGCGCCCGCGGCCAACTTCATGCTGTTACTTTTGGGTTACAGTGATGCGCGCGCATCTAAAAATTTCACTCTCATCATTTTTTCATAACGCGCCTAAAGAAGTATAACTTTAAAACATTAAACCTTCTTTTTTTTCTTTGGTCAAATTAATATTTAGAATCGGTGCCAGTCGCAGGCCAACCCAAGTAGTAAATGGGAACTCAGATCTATCAGACCTGCATGGCACCGACTCCAAATATTAATTTGAATTAATATAAAAAGGTTTATTATTTTTTATATGTCGGCGGTTAATTTTTTCTGTTAAAAATTTTTATTTTACAAACAGATCGGCATCAAAGTCTGTGAGTGAACAGTCAATCATCCCCTGTTTTCATACCCTTAGGGTTGGTTTTTCTTTTTCAAATTCGTGGGGTACCAACTACGGGTTAAGAAATAAAAAAAGAATTACCAAAATTCTTCGATCAACAATTTTATAGATAACGGGTCAGCGCGTAATATTCGTCTCGGTAAATATAGCCTCATTTGAGGCGTGAGATCTTATTTTAAATTATTTCGGTTACCTAATACAAAACGAAGTAACTCGCTGGCCAATGACTGGTAAAAACATTTTATTTTGTGTTTTGTTGTTTCACATTTTCCTTTTTTCACTTTTATCTTTTTTTAGAAAGTATCATATATAATTTATACCTACGGAATAAGAGTACCTTTTATAAGCTAAAATGTCGTATGTGCGAAATAACATTTTGTTATTTTTAACCTTATTCCTTTGTGAGATAGTTGTTATTAGGTTCAACTTAAACTGTTTTAAATCTTTTATCTATGTTTATAGGGAATCGAATGTAGCTGCATTAGTTTAAACATACGCGGACAGTTTTTAGCTTTGATTTTGTATCCAACCCGCTATCTACAGAATTGTTAATCGAAGCCAAAATTAGACTACTCTGTAAAAAGTTATGTATAGTCATACATTACAATCAGTGAGTGAATAATCAATCATCCCCTGTTTTCATACCCTTAAGGTTCGATTTTTTTTTTCATATTCAGATGGGACCATCTTCGGGCTATGCCCTTTCCAAATCGTCGACTTGAGAATCTCCTCCGATTTGTTCGTCGGTTAAAAAGTTGGTTGCCTACTAGCTAATAGGCTAGTTTTTTATTTAGATTCAGACTGATGCTAATTCATGCCCACTGCGTATAATGCTTTGAGTACTAAATCTGAAAAAGGCGCTGGCTGTTCTTCTTGAACATGTAATTTTAAACTTTCTTTTGAGGAAATGTTTCTTGCTTGGAGATTTTAACCCACCAACCTGTGTACATGCATGGCACGCGAAATATGTGAACTCCGTGATCCTATAAATATACATTTCTTTGATAGGGATAAGCTTTAATGTCTTGTAATGTAGACATTATTTATTATATTTTTATTGAGGATTACATATATTAGGTTTATCCAGCAAAATTACCTATAATATGAAATTAATATCGCTTATCTTAGCTTATATTCTGAGGGCACACAAGCCCTAACAAGTCTCTTAAGCTTTACTCAGAGACGTGAATTAAATTAAAAGCTAGCAAGCTAGGAAGATGTCTTATTTTATCGTAAGTGAAAAAAAATAGACAGCATCAACTTCAATCAAACTTAAACATTAATTGACGTCTCTAAGTGCGACCGTAAGTGAACAATGGATAAGGAAATTTAAGCTCTAGAAAATTATTTTAAAAGAGAGATAACACCGAAAGGGAGCTTTTTTGTTAAGGACAGGAAGGAACCCTACCACTGGAACTAGAACCCTGGTAAAATATCTCAAATAACCAGTAAATACCAAATGGAAAGAACCTATTTATAGATACTAAAGCACCCACATGAAGCTGTGTTGTGCAAATAAAATATTTCAATTCTTGGATGGAGCTTTAGCCCTCAGAGTCTACCACGAGAGGCATGCTTTGTACGTAAACAAAATGAAATAGATGTAAGTAAACATATTCACTGGAAAGCT